TGCCTATTAAGGAGTGTAACTGAAGGTTTAACATGTTTTTAAGACTGAGGGAGCCAATGTTGACTCTTGAACAGCCACATTTATATTGGATAAGTTTGCTCAGGTGGCACGCCAAAGGTCTGTACACTGCAGGAAGCGGAGGGGAAGGCAGGAAGAGGGGAGAACTAGCTGAGAGGACAGGAAAGCCAAGAAGTGTGTAATGTGAAAAGTGTGCAGAAACACCTGGTTGAACTTGGCAATGCACATAGAAGTACCATCACTTAATGTTCCTTGGGCGTTGCTAGGACTGAAAATCAAAGCCCATCCATTTGCACATGCATAGTTGATAGTAAGAATGCTCTTAGATCTCTTTGTTCTAGTTCTTTCCAAATTCCTAAAAATGGCTCCTGCAATCAAGAAGCTAGGCACTAAGACGTTTGATATTCAGACAGATAGTGAAGTTAAACCCAATTGCATTAGATGTAGGGTAACAATAAGCTTCTCTTCTGGAGGGTTAACAACCTAAGTTTGCAGACCAAAAATTAGAGAAATAAAAGGGCTGCAAGGACAGTCAATATTTTGACCATAGCCTTTCAAGGTCAGTGAAGACTCAAGACATAGGAGAACCTATACTGTGACATCATGTAACTCAGTTGTGTCCCAAATTTTCTGATCAAGGAGATTATGGGGCCACAGAGTAACATGATTGATAACATAGAGTGTGCCTGGGGAGAGTCACCTGGAGAGAAAACATTCTCTGAGGCTTTCACAGAGAGCAAATTGGCCAAGCAATGGCCATGACTCATCCACATGGCTGACACTGACAAAGGATCTTCAAACTGTGGTACAAGGTCACAGGATAAATCCTAAAGGTACTTAACTACCTTATCAGATACAAAAGTTACATTTCTTGTTATATAGGTCTTGTTTTATCTTGGTCTTAACCATACAGTGAAAAGTATAAAAACAAGGTATATAAAGTAAAGCCATATCAATATGCTGAGCTGTGAAAGGCTCAAGTCAACAACTTCTGTGGATAACCCACTGCTATTGTGGACTGCTGGACTGTGTTGGATTGTTTTTCTGAATTCATGCACCTATGGTATTTAGATGTCAATGGGATATCTACTTCTGATAGGACTAAACAAAAAAGGGGATACAAAGGAAGGACCATTTTGTATCTGTATTTGCAGAATAGTTAGGATAGGGCCAGGGAGATGGCTCAGTGGAATAAGCGCTTCCCTGGCAAGTGCAAGGGCCTGAGTTCAATCCCTGGTTCCGAAAAAAAAAAAAAAGAATAGTTAAGATAGATATACAGCTACTTTTGCTTAATTCAGTGAGAAGAAAGATTTGTAC